AAAAGGTGATGATGCTGAATGAGGCCATGGACAGCTGGGAAACCAGCTACAGTGAGGCCTGGGCAGCGGCTGAGCTCAGTGTTCCTTGCAGCTGGAATGAGGAGAGGGGAAGGAAATGGAAGGAGGAGCTTTGCACCTCCCTTTGCAAGAAACCGAGACCTGATATGAGGTTTTGGGTTGGTTTGCTCTGTTCGTTTCTTTCTGCAAATTCATCCTGGAGCAAGGAGAAGGAGCAACTAGTATATCAAGCAGTCTCTTTGCTGGTACACTACCTCCGTAAAGGGTGTTGGCAGCTTCCCTTCTTGTCTTTGCACATGGAAACATGGGAATGCCACGCAGCGAGCGGCCGGACTGGCATAACCTCGGTGCTAAAACCCCAGTCCAGCACTTTGGCGTAGCAGGAAGAGTTTTTCTCATACAGCAGTTTACGTTGCCTGTAACAGCTTGAAGCAGCCATGGCAGGAGGAGGAGGAGGAAGAGGAGGAGGCAAATTGTCACCTTGCTACATGTGTGGGCCGTGTGCCCATCCCTGATCCGAGCCGTTGCACCCCGCGGAAGCTTTGCACAGCAGCTACGAACACAGCCCTAAGGTACAAAAAAACACCGGAAGAACGTTCCTGATTGTCCTGCCTGGTTGTCATTTGGTACAACTGGGAAGAAGACAGTAATACTGTAGTGTCCACGGACGTCTCGCCGACATGGCTGGAGCACAGTTCCCGTGCCAGAGGGAACACAGTTCCTGCGAACCCGCATGGTGTGTCTCGACATCTGCACACACGTGAACATCATGCCTTCGACATGCAGCTGACGGGGCCGGGGGGCAATATAAGACTCTTAATCACACGCCTTCCAAAAGTCAAGCACAAAGCCTGTGGTCCAACCCGGTGTAAGATTGTCCTGTTTGAGGAGCTTTGGTACAAAAATACTTGGCTCTCGTTTTAGTCTGCTTTCGTGTGGTTCTGTTTGAAAAGTTCAAACACTACAACAATGCCTGTCAAACCATGCTTTCGGGAGCAACACACTCTTCCTTACAAATATACAGTGTAAAAGAGGAAAATATTATTACTAGGTAATGTTTTTCTTCTAGGAGAGCAGATGTGTGATAGAGGCTGTGGGAAAGTCTTGGAGGAATCCAAACTCGTGTGAGGGTTTTTTTCAAGCCTGTAACAACAGAGAGAGGTGTTTAAAAAAAAAAAAGAAAGGCAGCTGTGATGGAGGAAAAAAGGGGCTGTGATTCGTTTCTCATCCTTCATGGGGAAACTCCTGTGCAGCAGCATGGGGGAGAGGGAGGCTTGTTTTGGAAATCTGTGCCCAGACCTCACCCCAAGGACAGGGAAAGGCGATGTGGGGAATGCCTGGGCAGAGAGATTGTCGGCATCCCAGGTGTAAAGGACCCCACTGGTCCCAGTTTGCTCCTCCCAGTTTGCTGAAGCCCCTGGGGTTTGAACTGGGAAGCTGAGAGTTAACTTGAATTTTGCACTTTAAGAGGAATTCAGTCTCTGTTGATCCAAGGCAGGAAGCGAGCGGAGATGAGATTACCGGGGGTAATTCAAAGCTGAGAGGCATTCCTTGGCTGTGGAAACCCTCGCCCCAGATAATAATAATGATAAAGGCGGGAATGGCAGGGCCATGGTTCTGGCTGGGCAGCAGCAGGAGCAGCGATGCCTCCCTGCAGGGATCAACCCCAGGGTCACACCCGCCTCACTGCCTATTCCCTCGGGGACGACACATTGGCTTCCTCACCCTTTGGCCCCCTCCCCAAAGGCAGCCAAGCCCACGGGACAGCCTGACGCCATCCCGGCCTTACCAGCACACTGTGGTCCGGCGGAGAGCACGTCACCCCAGTAGCCGCCTTGGAAGACTCCACTAATACCCACAAGACTGACTGTAGGCCACCATCACACACCTGAGACCTGCGGGAGGACACAGCGGAGGGTGAGGGATGCTGGCACGGGGGGCTGAGGTCGCGGTGCTGTGGGGAGAGGTGGTTTCACAGTGGTCAGAGCCGGCGCTTCCCAAGGGGACAGTTTTCACCTTAGCCCTGCCCTGATGGGCTCCGGGCAGCAAGTACAGGACAGGGCCAGGCTGGCAGCAAAACCCTTCCCTGGGCTGTGCCCTTCCCAGGTGGAGGAGCCTGGCAGGGAGCCAGGAGGTCCCCAACCCTCCATCCTGACCGCCCACTGTGGCTACTGGTGTTGCTGTGGGCTGGTGGACCTGTTCCAAATGATTCGCTCGCCTCCCCTTCCCAAATACGGCTCTGCTTACATTTTATCTGGAAAGTTTGGCACGGTGCATATTTTGGAAGAACCACTGGTTCCCAAAGCCTCGCCGCTCCCTATTTTTATCTGCTGGGCCTAAAATAGCCGGTAAGTTCCTTGTGGATCCAAGTCTGGGTCCGGCTGCAGCCAGGGCTGGGCCTCCTGCCCTCCCAGATGAGTGACCATGGGAGCATGGGCAGCCGATACCAGAGCTTTGGATGCACTGGGTGTGGAAGCAGGAGGCTTCCCAGCAGGGATTGGCAGTGTGCAGGAATGATTCCCAACTGGGATGGTCAGGGTGGGTGGGATCATGGGGTAAAGCAGTGCTCTGCGTCCACTGAACCTCTTTCCCCTCTTCCACTTGGGTCCCCTTTGTTTATTTATCCACGAAAGGCCGAGTTATTTGCAGAGCATGTCTTGCAAGGCTTTTTCCATCCAAAGAGGTCCCAGATGGAATCGGATCGGTCCCTCCCTCCAGCCAGGCAGCTTGGTGAGGCTGCACTTCTTATTTTGGCAGCTCCACCACCCCGAGCCGCCCGGAGAGTTTTCATTAAGGTTTAATGAGATGGTTGTGTTGGGGCTCCTTTCTTTTCCATCGCTGCACTCCCTCCCCAGCAGGATGCCTTTTCCGTCCTGCCCCGGGGACATTTGGGAAAGTGTTGGGGGTGATTGGTGGCAGGGACATCCCCTTCCTGGGGGCAAGGAAGGCAACTGGACTTAAGGAAAGTGACCTCACCAATAGTCTGGCCACCCACCCTGAGCTGCTGGAGACCCCAGGAGTTGTGGTGGTGGGGGAAGGCCAGGGTAAGGGTGGAGGTGGATCCCAGCCAGCGCAGGAGGATGGGCCCAGGACAGTGGCACTCACCCGGCATTCAGCAGAACTGACGGGACTTCCAGCCCTGAGAACCAGCCTCGGAAGGAGGGAGCCAGCGCATCTGCAGAGGCAAGGGGGACACAGAGTGAGAGGGGGGTGGCCGCCTACCCTGGCAAGATCCAGCCACATCTGGGATCCCCTTTCCCGGCCTTCCCCAGGCACAGGGTGGAGGGAGGTCAGAGCACAAGCAGTACAGCCATCCCAGCTCCAACCGGGACAGTTACACTGAGGCCAAGCACAGCCCCCAGCATCCCTGCTTCCAGCAGGATGGAGCTGGGATAGCAGCACCACTATCCCACTGAGCAGGAGTGAGCTCATCCCTCTCAGCTTCTCAAAAGCCCGCTTGAAACAGGGTGGAAAACATCAGACGCCAAAACCCAGCACATGGTGCTCAGTGCCCTGCCAAATAACACCAACTCAGCCCCCGTCCATCCCGAGGTTCCTGGTCCTGCCGCTCTCTGCAGGATCCAGCCGAGCAGCTCCAGTTTGGACAGTGGCACCCGTCTCCAGTGCCCCCCACCAAACCTGCATGGGGAGGGGGGTGGGAAAGGTGCCACCACCATGCTTCCCCTTGTGCTGATATTGCACATCAGGTAATATTTCTCCTGTCTAACCTCAGCCTAGGTTTTCCCGAGGGACCCTCGGAGCTTCCGTACGCCTCCGTTTCCTTCGCTTCTCCGAGCAGGGCAGGTGCTGCCTGTTAGCAGTTATTTGACAAGGCGAGTACGTAGCTGCAATAATATTTACTGCTGCTCTTCCTATGAGCAGCAGGGCACAAAAAGCTGGAGTTTCGTCCAAGGTCTGTATGCCGAGCGCTTTTCCACACCCTCCTGCTCAAACCAGCCCCTGGCTGCTCCGGCTCCCAGCAATGGTGGCTCTGGATAACCTGGCTCAGTCCTGGTGGGGCAGGGCCAAAATCCCCTTGGAAGCAGTTTATCCAGCTAATCTGTTTCCGTGTGCTCGTTTTCTCCTGCTCATCACCGAATCAGAGCCAGCAGCAAGGAGCAAAAGCCGGGATGATGTCCGGCACAGATGCTGGGGAGGCAGCTGCCCATTCCCCCTTCATGGCAGAGGTCTTTTCCCAGCATCCCCACGATGTAAAGCTGGCACTGCAAAGAAATCCTCTTCCTCCTCCATTTCCACTTCTTCTCTTCCCAGCTCCTCTCCCAGGCGGATGGTTAATTTTTAACAGCCACGTGCTGCCGTCGGGGGCCACCGGCACTGGCAGCCGGCAGAAAGCACTTGTGACAAGGCAGCACCTCGTCAATAAAAGATGGATCCTCCATTTGCGCTTCGCTTCCCTCTCCTCCCCATCAGAGCTGCTTGGCTTCACACCCCATGTCCGGCACACCACATCCCAGCAATGCTCCAGGGGCTCTGGAGCCCCCATCTCACACCGCGCCAGCAGCCGGATGGCAACGAGTGATGGGGATGGTCCAGACCCGGAGAGCATCCCCATCCATCCATCCATCCCTCCCTCCCTCCCTCCCCACTTGCCCCACCACGGGCGGCAGCAAAGGTAGGAAGGCAGAGAGAGGTGTTTGGGGAAAGGCAGGACCCCTGCCAGCGCTCAGCTCCATCTGGGAGCCGTCCCTAAATCTCAGGGAGCGGGGAGTGAGTGCCTGTTAGCCGGGCAGAGGTTAGTGGTGCGGCGGGCACCGAGGGGGGAAGGGGGTCCGGCGTGGGTGGGAGGGTGAGCGGTGGTTGGTGAGGGATGGGTCGGAATTACCTGGGCGTGCAGCGAAGCGGGATAGGTGAAAGCAGGAGGAGGTAGAGCAGGTGCTAATTCCGCTGGGTACAGAGGGTACGGCCCCCACACTTCAGGGCTACTGGGGTAAAGTGCAGGCACTGTGAGCTCATCTGCAAGAGAAGAAGAGGGAGAGTTAACAGTGACCGCAGGGCCGCCATCCCTGCCGCGTCCTTCCTTCTCCCCCCCGAAGCAGGAGCGGAGCGTCCCCCGGAGAAGTGCGGGATGTCACCGCCGAGAGCCGACCCGCAGAGCCAACGTGGTACTGGGCTCGTCATCTCCAAAAGGTTTAATGATCCCAGGGATCCAGCAGAGAAGGGAATGTGGCTCAAGCCTGTGCACAACAGCGAGGTGAGGAACTGGTGTCCACGCGAGAAAAGCTCTTCCAGAGGCAGAAACAGGTATGGAGTACTCATGGCAGGACATTGCTGAGGCCTCTGCTGAGACCCCCAGACATGACGAGGAAACTCCCTGGCACGGAGAAGCAGCACCTTAGGCTTGTCCCACTCCCAGGCACGGTGCCAGGCTGGCTATCACCCGTCCTGGGATCCTCTCCTTTTGGGGACTCCTGGCAGCAAGCAGGTGCCGCTGCTTCCAATTGGACCTGGCATTCCCCACCGCCACCCCCCCACCGCCACAGTATCCCTGCTCCTTCCAGCACCCCGCACGACATCACATTCCCTGAATAAGGAGTTTTCCCTGGGATGGGGGCAGCCCCCAGCGCCCGCCACCCCAAACCCTTACTGGTGCCGCAGGCCCCGGTACTCACAGGGCTCCCGGGCGATGAACTGAGGTACGGCGGTGGGGAAAGGGGTGCTGGGATTTGGGGTGCCCACCAGCTTGCTCTTGGCCATCTTGGTGTTGGCCTTGGCGAACTCCAGCCGCAGCGTCTGGGGGATCTCGGGGTCGAAGCGGATGCCCTGCGGGAGGGGAAGGAGAGAGGGGAGGCACGGCGGGTGGGCGAGCGCTGCCGCGTGCCGGCCCCCGCAGCAAAAATAACTCTCTCCCCGTTATTTATGGGTTTTTTTCAACTTCCAGCCTTGAAATGAGCTAATTTGCCGGGCCCCGAGGCAGCTCACATTCCTCCAGCATCTTTAGCATCGGCACCATATTTGGCAGTCGGCATCCCCGCAAGGCCAAGCTCTTATCCAGAGGGATTAGCGGAGCCAAAGAAAAGAAGTTTTACATTGAAAATGAAGACAGGGAAGAAAAGCAACCCTAAACCAAAACCCGGGGAGAACTGGTGAGGAACCGCAGAACCAGTTCCACGTGATTCTGCCCCTGACTATTTCCAGGTAACTCCACAGAGGTAGAAGGGAGCTGCTAAAAGTGAGAATGGCTTTTTCTTTGGCAGATTTTGCCGGGATTTTTCCTGTTGAACAAACAGAAGAGGCTGGGAACGGTGTCTCTCGCTTGCATTTGTATCTGAGGCTCGAACCCTGAGAGTTCAAGCCCTCCTGGATGGCCCTGAGAAAGGTGAGAGGGATGCAGCCCCCTGGGAGGGAGGATGTGGATGAGAAACAAGGATGGGATTGTCTGGAGGGATGGGGATGCTATGGGGCCAGCCGGCGTGGGAGCTGCACATCCCCAGCGTGGAGGAATTCAGGGAGTATCTGGAGACAGGGAAACAAGGAGAAAAATGGGAAAATGGAGCAGCCAGGCCGGGCACACTCACGTTCAGAGCGTTCTTCGCCGCCTCTGCCTCGGAACGGCTGTCGAAGCTGACGAAGCCCACGGGCTGTGGAGGAAGGAGAGGAGGAGCCATCAGTCAGGTGGGGAGCAGAGGGGACCCCCCTCACCCCAGGGACTGGTGGTGCCAGGGAATGGTGGGATGATCACCCCATTTGGAGCAGCTCCTACCTGCTTGGAGGTGAGTTTGATGAGAGACCCCTCGTACCCCTGCAAGGAAAGGATAAAAAAGGGTGTTCAGTGGAGATCCCCATGATTAAATAATAATAACTGAATAAATTGACTGAATAAATTTTTGGGGGGGAACCAGTGGGCTCCCAGATCCCAGTAAGTTGTTTGGGGCTGGGGCTAGGGCCAGCTCCACACTTCCAGCCCCCCTTTCCCTCACCAGTTTGGTACCTTAAAGGGCCTGAAGAGCAGGTAAAGTTCCCGGGGCTTAATGTCCAGAGGCAACCCACTGACAAAGAGTGTCCTCACCTGGAAAAGAAGAAAGAAGGTTCCTGGGGATTCTCTTCATCCCTAACATAGCTTCCTGCAGCCAGAGGGACAATGCCAGCCCAAAGGGAAGCTCCTGGGTGGGCAGCCAAAAGCCTTAAGCCCCAATTGAGTGATGCAGAATTTTTGGGAGGGGTGTCCCCATCCTTCAGGTGACCACAGAGGAAGCTGCTAAGGCACCATGGAAAGGTAATGGAGACCTGTCCTCACCCCACAGAGTGCTCTTTGGGCTGAAAAAGCTTCCAGCATCCCAGCACCTTCCTACCCTGGTCTGGCAAACAGGATCTCTCCCGGCATCCCCAGCGGATCCGGATCCAGGACTCTGCAGACAATGCCTATTGTCTCAGTTTAATTGCAGCAGCTCATTAAGGACTGGGAGAAGCAAAGCCCAGCTCTTCCTCCTGGAGGAATGGCCGACCCTGGTTTGGAGGGGGCTGGGTTTGAGCAGCTTGTCCCTGGTTTGTAGAAGTCACCTTTTTTAAGGGGTTTTAACCTTTTTTTGGTGGATCTAATGTTTGTGGTGGTGCAGCATCCTCAAAGCTGGTGTGTTTGGCAGAAATCCCGCTCCCACCAACTCCGAGGCGGGATGTGGGGCTCCCCAGGGATAGGCAAACCCTGTGCTGGGATGGTTTTGCTTTACAACCAGCTCATAACTGGTGAAGCAACGTGGGGAACTGGGTCTGCTGCCAGTTCCCCCTCTCCTCATCCACAAAACCTCATCTGAACACTTTGGACTGGAGTAGGGGAAAACTTTGATTTATTTTATTTAATTTTTTTGGCCACGCACCCTGCCTGCCCCATTCCCTGGGAAAGAGACATGGGAAACTGCCAGAAACAGCCAGCCCAGGCCTATTCTTCTGCTGACATTTCTTCTTTCTCTTGCAGATAAGCTATCTCCCCCATCTCCCAGCCTGGGAGCAGCAAACATTCCTGCTTTGTGGAACAAAACCTCTGGCTGACCTGTATCTGTTAAATAACAAAAGGTACTCGAGCTGTTTGCATATGGCCCTTGTGCCAACAGCCCTGGTGATACCCATCCTGGGTACCTGTGTTATCATCATCACCATCATCATCATTCCTACAGGTACCAGCATCCAGGGGCACAGGGGTGCCCTCACTCCTTCCTGAGCCAGGAAGGCTGCAGGCAGGCACAGCCTGGTAGCCTGTCCCCTGTAGTGGAGCCATCCAGGGCGGGCTGGAAGCCCCCCCAAAGCACCCTGGGGGACCTCTGCCAGATTTCTGCTGTCTCCCAAGACCAGAGGCTGATGGAGCATCCCAAGGCATTCAATATTGTTCTGTCTCCCCGTGGAGACAGTGCCCAAATTTCTCTCAGCAGGGAGGCAGGAGGAGCTCCCCTTGTGCTCATGAAATTCAATGTAAGAAATTTATCCTTTCCTTGGGGAAATAAATATTTCCTTTCAGACAGGTCTGACTAAGTGTGGCTGCTATCCGGGGAATTGGCTCTCTGGACGCATCCACCTTCCCAGCTGGGTTTGTGAGCATCCCTGCATGGTGTCCCCTGTCTCCACCATACCTGGAGCAATTCTGGCAAGCTGGCTTCCCATTTCTCCTCCCCCTGGGGAGCTGCATGAAACACCAGAGGTGTTGGCGACAGCTCCGGGTGGGGGGAAACCCACTGCCAGTTTGCAGCATCCCTAAAATCCAAATCCTACAAGCCCAAGCCTGCCAGATCATTTATCCCCAAAGCCACGTGGGAGAGAGAGGGGGGAGATAAAAGACCCCGAGGAACCCTCCGAAATTCAGCCCTGCAGAAGAAGGGTTTCTCTTCCTTAATGACTTGTTTTCTTTGGAAGTTCAAACACGGGTCGGCCAAGTTTGAATCCATAAAATTACACAGCGGCAAGAGGGAGAAGGGCTCCAAAGGATCCCCCAGCTGGTTTCCAGCCCCAAAAGGCCTGGGAGAGGAGGGAAGGATATGAGCTCGTGGGTGCTCCCCATCTGCACCCCACAAAAGGGGCCTGGGGCGTACTGAGCCACAGGGATGTTTGAGTAGGTCCTATGCAAACAGCATCCTTTTGCTGGGTAACAAACAGGTGGAACTGGCAGAGTAAGGGAGTTTCCTCAGGGATAATCCCAGCAGGCTGGACGGATATCCTTTTGCCAAGGGAAGGATCTTAGCGGAAATATTCCTCCTGCCCTTAAATGGAAGGGGAGCTTCGGCTCGCAGGGAGCTGCTCCAGGTTTTCCCATGCCGAGAGATCCCAGGGATTCAGTCACCATCCTCTACCAGAAACACACTCAGGGCAAAATCCTACCCTGGACTGGGAAAAAAAAAAAGCCTTATCAGCCAGCAGGCAAATACATGCTCTTCCATGGGGAAAAATGACCCCTTCTGGCAGGCAGATTGGACGAGGCGCCTGTTCCCAAGTGTCTCATGGGATGGGGCCAGACCTACAGCTCCCAGGAAAGGATTAGCGAAGGACTCTGGAGCACGAGATCCCTGCAGCCCAAACCCCCTTTTTTTTTTCTTTTTTGGGCAGCCTGAGCTGTTTCATTTCAGTTCTGCTGTACAAACATTTTCAGTTTCTTCTTGGTGGAGCATTTCTCCATCTCTCCTTCTCCTTACAATTTGGGGTGAAACCAAAAGTTTTTTTCCAGGTCAGAAGTGCTGATGTTTGCCCTGGGAAGCTGCTGGCCATGGGTGCAGCACCTCAAAGGTGACTACCTTGATTTCCTTCCATTTCCTTCCATGGGGATGGTAGCTATGCATGAGGAGCACTCCAGGTCCCCTTCCACAGTCCTTCTCTGCTCCAGTCGCTGCACCCCACAGCTCCCAGGTTTGCCAGGGCTGCTGGATCCCACCTCTGTCTCCTCGCTCCTGTTTTTGTCCCCTCTTGGCTTTTATTGTCCCTGCAGGAAGTCTCCTCTTCATCTCTGCTACTCTTCCTCAGAAGCCACCTCCATCCCACTTCTGGCACGTCCCTCTCACCTCTGCATCCCACCATCCCCTTCTGTTGTCCTTGAAATTCCACATCCCATCTGGGGCATTTAAAGGATGATGGGAAGGGTCTAGGGGGGGTTTGCTGGGATGGTCAGGGCTGGAGACACACAGGGAGAGGCAGGGCCTGGGCCAAGAGGTGGCTGGGGTCGAGGAGGAGAGGAGCATGGATCGAGGATGGCCCAGCATGGAGAGATCCATGACGGAGCACTGGCAGCCCTCCTCCTCCTCTCCTCACCTTAAGCCACAAGCGAGGTTCCTGAAGGTAAGGAAGCACCAGGGAGGCATTACCCTGCCTCGGACCCTCATCGGATGGCGGTGCCCAGAGGGATGCCGGACGTCCCGAGGGATGCTGGGTGTCCCACCAGCACGGTCACGGTCCCCTGCCCCTATCCCTGCCCAAACCACCTCCGGTGAACGTTAACAGGCTCGGGGGGGGGGGGGGGGGGGCGGGGGGGCGCCCGGGGGATTCATCCACGAGGCATTTAATCGCCTCCTTCAGCCCTGGCTCCCCGTCCGTCCGTCCGTCCGCCCCTTCCAGCCCCTTCCAGCGGGGCTCGCTTTAATTCTCCACCAGCCGATTATCCGCTTGACTGCCCGCCGCCGGAGAGGCACCGCCGGGCAGCCGGATCCCGGCGGGAGCGGGAGGGCGATGGCACAGGGCTGCCATGGAGCCAGGGAACAGGGCGAGCAGAGCTTCTCCCCACACCCCATTCCCGGCAAAGGGGGTGCTGTGTGTGTGTGTGTGTGTGTGTGTCCCCCTCCTCCCCGCGGCGGGGTGCATTCCGGCCCCGCCGGGATTAGTCCTGGCGTAAATACTCTCTTGGCTAATGGAGCGTCTTCCTCGGCTGGGTTTAGATTCCCGAGCTGTGTGTACGCATGCCTTCAGCCCGCAAAACTCCCCGACATAAACAAGACTGAGGCCGAGGGATGCCGGCTCCTCCGCCTGGGGAATGCGGGAGGACCGGGATCAGCCTCCGGCCTCGCCACCCCGCAGCCCCTTGTCCAGAGGGGCAGACAAACGCCCGGTGACGGACAGGAGGAGAGGAACAGCCCATGGGGAAGAGCGAGTCCAGAGCTGCCGGGGCTGGAACGAGGAAGCGGCGGAGGAAAAGGCAGCGAGAAGCCAAGGGAGCAGATGGGGGATTGCAACAGAGCGGAGGACCGGCGGGATCAGGCGGGGGTCACACACGGCCCTGTCCCGCCCAGACTTTGCTCCCAGACCCTCGGGACCCCACGCTTCAAGGGGGAAAGGAAGCAGGAGCACGGGGGGATGCGACAGAGGGGCCACGGGGGAAAATTTTAGCCACTCACTGGGCGCATTCCCCCCTCCCCCCCCCCCAGATACCACCCCTGGTGTTCCCTCCCCACGCCACGGTCCCCCGGGGTGAGGGATCTGGCATGGGATGGGAACGAGGGCCACGAGCCGGGCTCTCCGCAGCCGCTCCGCTACCAAATAAGGCCTCCGCCGAGCCTTTTACATGCCGTTCTCGCCCGGCCAAAGTGACGTGACCGCCTTCCCAAATTGTTCTGGCTCCTCCGTGGGGAACCCCCTGGCTCACAGCTCCCCTGTGGGGACCCCGGGGAGGAGGCGAGAGGGATAGGGAGGCCACCCGGGGTGCCAGGAGCAGGCAGGAGGAGCGGGGCTGAAGTGGGGGCTTTGCCCACCTGGCAGCAACCTCACTGATCTCCCCGGGATAGAGGCTGCTTCTCCCTCTTCCTTGGGGGGGCAGGAGCCTGGAAGGCAAGCCCTGGGAGGGGAGAGGTGCGGCGCAGTAGCCGGGCAACCCCCTTCCCCTGCGCTTAAGCAAATACTCGACAGCACCGGCTCTTCCAGCCTGGGCTGGGCAAAACTCCTGCAGGGAAAGTACCTGCCTGGCACCGGAGGAGCCCGGCTTGGCCATCGCCCTCCTAATGAGTTCCCGGCACAGCGGGTGACCCTGGCACCTCGCAGCCGGCCCCTCCAGGGGCTCCCCATGTCCAGTATCGAAAGATCAGGGGTTTCCCAAGTGCGACCAGTGCGACAGCCGGCCCCTGGCCCCCCGGATCCAGCCGGGGGGAAAAGGCAACAGGCCTCCACGGATGTCTCCCACTGCCACGTTCGGCCGAGCCACAGCCGCGGGACCCGGCAGCATCATCTCCCACACACCCCGCGAGGCCACGAGTGGAAAAACTCCCTATTATTTAGGAAACTTTTGGAAGTTTGAGGCCAGAGCCACCTCCGGAACAAACAAATGAAGGCAGGCAACAGCGGGCGGATGGAGCTGCGGTGATCCCAGCGCTGGCCATCAACCAGGGACCCCAGTACGAGCCGGCGGGGACCTGCCGGAGCAGCCCGGAGGGTGGAGAGCGAGAAGGAAGAGGAGATCCCAGATCAGAATCTTCTCGCTCTCACCCTCCCACAAGTCCAAATTCCCATCTCAAGGTCACGGGCAAAACCAGGAACTTTGCGGTCGGAAGGCAGAAAGCCAGCTCTCACCGCGGCGCGGCGTGGGGTTGGTCCACCGTGGGGGAGATGTTTCGGACATCTTTGGGGTGAGACCCACGGGAAGGGACGCGTGGCCGCTGGATGCGCTGTACCCACCAGCACCGGCAGCGCCAGGCACCGGCCCCGGGACCGGGGGGAGCCTGGTTTGCCCCCCACGGCCCCGCGGAGCTGCGTGTGTCGAGTGGGGCTCCCCGCGCCCGCAAGTCTCCGCCGGGGAGCCGGGGGGGCGTTTGCGGGGAGGCCCGGGGGGATGCGGGCGGTGGATGGGGGCGTCCCCGGGAGCGGCGATGCGCTCCCCGCCGCTCATCCCCGTCCCCCCCGCAGCAGCCCCGCGTACCTGGAGCCTCGTAAACCGATGAGACACCCCTCCCCCCCGGCGAAGACACCCCCCCCCCCCCCCCCCGGGTGGGGTGCCGGGGGCCCCCGC